TTTGTGTGGAAGAATGGGCCAAAATCACACCTGAGCAATGCATGCGACTAGTTTCTCCATACAGGAGGCGTCTTGAAGCTGTCATTACCAACAAAGGTTTTGTACTAAGTATTAAATAAATTTCAGTAGTTCTACACACACACACACACACACACACACACACACACACACAGTATATTCTTTTCAAAGAAATTTACTCATATAATGTTTTCTTTAAAAAAAAAAAAGAGTTGACAGCCCTAGTATCTATTAAAAAAACTGAGAACAAACTCATGTTTTTGGTATGATTTTGGCAGCAGTAAAAAAACAAGAGTCTGTGTAGGAGGGCCTTTTTGTATTGACTTTGACAATGGGGGACTTTAAAGTTAAAAAGTTTGAGAACCATTGATGTAGAAGTCCATAATGCCTCATACTGTGGCATAAAATAGGAGATTCTTGTTGAGTATCATATGCTCTATTTTCGGGCCGTGATGTAATCCAGTAGGGAGTGACGGCAAACTGTGACTCATGGTCCTAAACACATCTGTGTGGTCTGTGGTTTTTGATCATCATTAAAGTATTAGTCCAATAAATAAAAACACAGATGGCAATAATTCTGACCTAAATCAATCAACGTGTCTGACAGAGTAAACCTCAAAATGACTGTTCTTGGCTAATGTCTGTTCTCAGTTCACTGCATGACGTAATTCAGTAAAACTTAAGCAACAAACCTGGTTTGGTCGGGAAACACTGCTTTGCTAATCAGATGGCAGCTGTCATAGTGAATAACTTCCACTGAATTTTATTTAATCATTTAGAAATATGAAGAATAATGTACAGTCAAATGTTCTAAACAGAATAAGGAGGTTAAATTGTGCTTTGGTTCTAACCATGACCTCCAAAATCCACTTTACCTTCTTCTCTGTCCTGTTAGGTCCAGGAGAGTTTTCCGTGAAATTGACCGGAACTGCACCTGCACCTGCTGCTTCCAAGACAACAACCTCTTCTTCTGTGTCTCTGTGAAGGACTGCGAGAGGTGGGAGACATCACAGCAGTGAGAGACTCAGGATTTCCATTCCAGCTCAACATACTTCACACCTCATAACTGATCACTCCAGAACTGTGCCTAATGGGACTATGTCTGCTTATTCTTAAATTTAGTATGTAATTTGTTCAGAAGTTTCAATAATAAGGATAATACAAACCAGAAAAGGGAACTGTATGCTCGCCATCTGCTGACCTCAACAGTCTCACATGAAAAACTAAAACACTTTTTGTACTTTGATTTGGATAAAAGCACCTAACAAATGCCTTAAACGTCACAAAATCAAATTAGTGTTTAGGGAATTTAAGTCTAATTTCTCAGAGACACTCTTGAAAATCTGGAGTCTTCCTGATAAGATGATGATAGTATTTATTAATATTTTTAATTATATTTTATTTTTATATTATCAGTTTTTATTTATTTATTTATTTATTTTTCTTGTGCTTTCATTTTTAATATTTCCATTTAGTTTTATTTTATTTTTATTTATGCTTTAGTTTTAGTAAATTTAATGTTTCGACTTAAAACTTATGACAGTTGGCTGCCAAGGCAACATTTCTAATTTTCATTTAAGTTATTTCAGCTTTACTTTAATTACCGTTTTAGTTTTGGTTAACAATAACAACACTGGTTCACTAAACATTTTACTTCTATTATTTGACACTTTTCTGAGTGGAACAGGATATTCAACAAGTAAGGACATGATTGTATCCAATGGGAATTATAAAAAGCGGATCAATTTTTCTCAATAAGACCAAGAACTTTCATGTATTAAGAAATTAATTAAAGGATACTTCAAGTTGATGAACACTCACCTCATGGATTAGGCACTTATCAATAAGCTGTAGGTAGGAACTAATGTTCTCCTCATCCGACCCTGAGACGAGGAGCTGTGTGCAAACTGTCACAAAAACAGAAAGAAAGAGTTAAAGTCACATATTTATGAAAAAAAAAAAAACTTCTTACACAATGCCAAACTATATTAGTTCAGTATGACTTTGAATCTCGTATAGTTATGGAAAACTCAGCAAGAGCTAAGGGAAGTAAATTACATGATCTCTGTCTGACATCTTCTGACCCATTTTTCTGTCCGTTAGATAAAGTTGTTTGGAAATGGAAAGTGGTGACCTAAACATTCCTAAAAGCCTCAAATGATTCTTAGATGACGAGAAGAACTACGTATGAACCTTTGCCCATGACGCGAGTGAACTGAGCAGGGATGTCTCCCTCGGCTATGAACGTGGAGCTGCCCTCCGTCTCTCCTCCACCCAGGTGGGAAGTGGCGATGCTGCTCTTCCTCTCAGCGCTCAGCAGGTGGTGCTGTGAAGACTCCTCTGTGCTGCAGGCTTTAATGGGCGTCTGGATGATCTGGTGGAGCTCCTGCAAAGGAGCACGTAGATTCCCTCCCTCCAAAATGTCCTGAAAGAGAGAGAGATGACAAATGAATGGATGCGAGCGTAGCTGTTATATTCAAGGTTGCAGTGCGGCCTTATTTTGGACGCTTCCATAAATTCAATACGGGCAACTGTCGGGTGTCGGGATATTTCAGACATGTAATGAGGCGGAAAATGACATGTGAGGACAAAATAAAGGTCTACCAAAAATACGAGCATGTTTGTTTCCCCGTCGCACGGTGCGACTCTTAACAGGGCCGACACATGCGGGACATTAAAACTTTAAATGGATTCAGCTACCAGGAGGAGGTGTCTGATTTCTGATGCTACAAATGCATGGAGATGGAAAGCTTGATGAAAAGGTTGCTCTGAAATTAGACATCTGGCTCCTTCCTGTCTCTTGTTGTTTCAAATACTGTGTCCTTGAATTAAATAGATGACATTTAATAATTAACACACATACAAATTGCATGTGAAAATGATAATGGCAGAGGTTTGGGATTCAGAGTTGGTGTGGCACTGCAGTTAAAGATCAAGGCTGGAAGCGGAAAGGTTGAAGGTTCAAACCCAAATCTGAAACGGTGAAAAAAGTATCCACAGTATGAATGACTGCAAATGTAAAGTTTAATAGGACTGTTCACAAAAACAAAGACTATGGGTTGAAATAAACTGAGATGGGGAAAGAGAGTCTCTGACCTTCTCCAAACAGCGTAGCATGTTTTGTCTGTCTTTCAGCTTCTGAATACTGATGATGATCTTGTGCCGTGCCCCTTTGGTGACTTGCTATATCAGAGAAAAACAAGATTTAAAACAAAATCTGACATGCTGTATGACATAACAACAGATCTCATACTATGCAAAGCTGCTACAATATATAAAATGTAAATATCTATATATGTACATACATGATGGAGACACTATACGATTCCCCTACAATAATAGCCACATTTCACACATAAAAACACACAAATTGCCACAAAATTAACTTTTCCAATGAGGCCCTGTATGTATTTTTCCACAAGTAATGGCCACCAAAATTACATGTCATTTGTCAGAAATTACCTGTAGCAGTGTCAAAAATACAGCAGGCTACACCTAGTTGTATGCACAAATTATTTGGAGCTAAATGTTGTTAGCAAACTAGCTAAATCAAGACATTGTAATTGATTTTCAACCCCTGCATCACATAAATAGCTAGAAGAGCCATTGAGTAACTGAGTCTTTTGATTGGCTCAAACTCTCACAAGCATGTCTGTATCTTGTACATGCTTGAACCTCTCTGGTAATATTACTTGCTTTAATCATTTTTACACTGGAGATTTGCACAACTGATTTCCTTCATTAGTATTTTTGACTGAGCTTTGCCAAGACATGCAGAGAAAAAACACAAAATGATTTAACTAAAACGAGTGAGCAAATTAATAATTATGGTTACACATTAAGGTGTCCTTGTTACAGTGTAATTATATATTTAAGTACAGAGTAATATTAATTAACTACATAGCATGTAATTACGTGCATGTAATTATGCATAATTTATTGTTCTTATAATAGTAAGTACATGTAACATGTTAACAAGGACACTGTAAAATAAAGTGTTACCTAGTGTGTTACCTATTATGTTTTATTAATTCATACTCTCGTTTTCATTAAATCTCTACCATGATTTACTAATTAGTTTCCTTGTTTTAATTAAATTAAATCATAGCTGCAATTTACCTAAAATTAGGGAGCAAAGGAATAAGTCATGGGAACAAATTCTTAATTTTTGGCTAATATGTCTTTTCAAACTGATTAAAAATGGGGTGTCAATGGGGTGAGTAATATAAATGTAATACAAAAGGGAATGAATGTTTTATGTGCAAATGTTTTTTTCACAAACACCTCAAATTTTTATTGATTTCTCTAAATACATGACGCATTATCTTATATCAGCTTGTAAAAACATCTTGAAAAATATCTTATAGTAAATGTAAACTCTTATTTTACATGTGTTTAATTATCTATACTGGAATACAAGACAAAACTATTGAGTAAGAAAGTCATTTTTGCAGCCTAGCAATGAAAAGTATCAAAACACCAACCTGAGCTTCCAGCTGCTGCTCCGTCAGTGACAGCATCTCATCATAGGTCATGGTGGAGAAGAGTCCAGCGTACTTATGGAGACGCAGACTCTTCAGCCATGCCGGCACATCTGAGAGTGACATCACATTGTTTCAGATGAAAAGCAATGCAGGATCAATTTTCTTGTAAGCGACCTAGTTTTTAAAGCCCTGGCTCATCGTGACTAATTAGACCAATTAATTATTTTCAAGATCTGTTTAGCTGTCATAAAAATAGTCTACATAAACACTTCTGTGGCTCACCCCTCATCCCGCTGCCCTCCTCATGGAATGTACTTCGGACAGCAGCGTGTTCCTCCAGGTGCTCGCTGCCTCCGCTGCCCGAGGACGCCACGCTGCTCTGAGGAGAGATGGGGGCGTGGTCGGGGGCCGGCCCGCGGGGACGCAGGTCCTCCTGGGAGAGCCATCCGTGCCCCAGAGGCTGGTTAGATCCGCCGCTCATCGGAGGGGTCAGAGACACCGAACGCCGCAGAGGACTGTGCTGTCCACCCGACAGAACTGCGAGAAAAGAGACATGCGGCGTGAGATCGGGCCACAGGGATCCTCATAAACACAAACAAGTCAGGACTGTTATATTTATACAAAAGCTTTAAATTTACAAGCTACGATTAGTAGCTCTGTTGTCACTAAGCAGACATAAGGGTGAACTTTTTAAAACATACTATTTTCTGTCTAGTCAGTGTGGACAATCAGGGGGTCGAGTAGTAGAGGGGTGGTCACGCTAGACTTTAAGCATGTGAAATTATTTTGGACTGCAATGAATATGAGCAACAGGTTATGATTTCAAATTCCAGGGCTATTTTGAATAATAAATAATAATATATTCAAAATGTTATATCATTTAACATAATTGCCAAATGATGAGATCACTTTAATATTGAATTTCCACTCAAAATAGGTATTTTCAAAATGATATAATAAATGATCTGTGGAGTATTTTGAGCTGAAACTTCACAGAAACATTCTGGGGACACCAGAGACTTATATTACATATTGTAAAAAGGGACATAATATGTCTCCTTTAAAATATTTTTATTTTATATTATTTTAGACATATATTTGTTTATATTACTGTTATTTTAGTATTATTTATAAACTATTATACTGTTTAGGCTAATGTTTTGAATTGACTTTTATTTTTATATTTTCATTTTAATTTTGTCAGGTTAATTTGTTTTATTCGTTTTTTTTTTTTATATTTGTATTTAGTTTTCATTTACATTTATTTCAGTTATAGTTTTACTAATTTTAGAACTTCAGATTGAGTTTATTTTATTTTAGTTAACAGATTTTCATAAGAGTTTTAGATTTAGTTACACTGGTTTACACAAACTTTTTAATAACAATCTTTTTATAGACGCATAAAACTATATATTATATCAATATACTAAATAAAAAAGTAGTTATTTATTTTATTCATTCAGCTATTTGGACAAACCTAATGTGCAACTTTAACATGTTGTCATATGAAAACGCAGTCAGTAACAAATTTATAAGCTGCGTGTTTTTTGGCTCACTGACTAGAACAGACTCATTTGTTTGGAATCTGATCTGACTACGCTTTTTGATTAAATAAAAAGAACCGACTCATAAGAGTCATTTGTTCGTGAATCAGACTACACTACTAAAGCTGCACAGTAAGTTTTTGATTCACTACAAGGAACACTAAAAACAACCACTCAAGAGTCTGAATGATTTAGAACCAGTTCTGAATAAAAGTTCCTGGTTCCAAGCAAATTCTACATTATCAATACTAGTTCATCTTCTCAAATTAGGGTATACATACATTATATATATATATATATATATATGAACTGTACCCCAGACCCTCATTTTCAAGCAGTGTGGTTGGAATTTTTTATAACTTTCATGGCAAACATCTGAGACTAGTCTGACTAACAGCTTCTGTAGCTCTAAACTGCTTTAGCCAGCACAACCAACACAAGTTTATTTGTTTCCACTACGGGAGGAAAACCTGGCAAACCAAACAAGCTGCGAGTCTTTTCCATTGCACCTAATAAACAGGTGAGCCTGTCTTCCTCTTCTGGAACATTCGACCCCGTCACGGATGAGGGGAAAGAGGAAACAAACAGAGAATGAGATGGAGAAGATACGTTATGGGCCGTGTGGAGAGCGTTCTCTCCTCCTATATGCGGCTGTAAATGTTTGGACTATGTATAGGTCTTCGCGGGCTAGTTTAAAATAGGTGCCCAGCTAACATTACAAGTTCCAGTCCCTAAATATTAGCCATTTTCCCTAAATACAAACCCCCACAAAGGATACCTTACAAGGGAAGAGCTGGGATGGTATGTGGTGCTTAGTTGGGGAGGTGAGAGGGTGTTTGTGTGGGTAAAGAAAGAAGGACACAGGATGCTGTTCTAATTCAATTTACAAATGTTCATTGGTGAGTATGTGGAAAAAATTTCAAAGATGGTCTTATATATTATTAGATTTTATTCTCCTCTGTCAAGGAGACAAATATGTTTTTTTATTGTCTTATCAATCATGATTAAAGGTTTGTTGTAAAGAAGTAAATTTACACCTGTATCACTTTGTTGATCTGATACCATGAATGGACCAAAATTACAATGAACTGAATCCTTCATTATAAAGTATTATATTAATATATTTACATTATTAATTAATGAATTAAACAAAAACATATATAAATAAAGAAGCTAGCGCCAATTTCACCATCCACCTGATTCCCTACATGAACCAAAAATAACTGACTGAAGCCATCATTATAAAATGTAATGTATGCATATTATAATTTATAGTATTTTATTTGGATAAATTAATTCATTATTTAAAAATGATGTATACCATCTACTCTTATTTTAAATAGAAGACATTTAATACATTAATTCATCAGTGATTACAATCCACTATATCCATGCTTTTCTCACAGGCTTTGAGAAAGAAATAGCTGGAAAATTATTGCTATTGATGAGATAATTTAACTACAAAACAATTGAATTTTTTATTGTTAAAATAATGTACTTTTTTATTGTTTACACCAGTGATGTTTTAGTATTGTTTATATACTATTAAAGTTTACTTTTTACTAATTTTGTCATGTGCTTTAGCCATTTTTTATTAGTTTAATTTGTATTTTGTTTTAATTAGTAGTTTTAATTAAATAACAGTTTTACAAAGGAAATGCAATGTCAGTGGAGTATTTGGTTGCACTGATTATTCTGTTAAATATAAATAGCAATAGTGTAGGCCATGTTGTTCATTTTTAGCATGTTGGAAGGTAGTTTTTTGGGCATTAAAATGAAAAAATGTTTTGTTTTGTTTTTGGTAAATGCCCAAATGAGTCAGAATTGAATCAAATACAAATTGCAATTAAATACAAATGAAAGCTTGTGAATCTGAATCAAACTGAATTCAGGAAATCTGTATCAATATGCAGCCTTAGTTTACATGAAACAGAGGGTTACCCTAAACCATTTAACACAATAAGTCAAACGGAACAGCAGCATTTGTCCAGTGGACAGATAAGATAATATTTTTAAAGCCTACATCCTGAGGCTGCTGGAGGTGAGCTGTGAAACCAGTCCTTTGTGCTGTTAAGTACTCTTAAGTAGTCAAAAATAAAGAGGATCTGGTGGAGCAGTGCTTTAAATGTGCCCTTATTTATATCCTCAGCTGTCTCCTTCATCAGAAAAAAAGACCCTTGCATTCTTAGCTGGAAATATCGTGCTCTGACCACAGATATGTTCAATCTGAATATCTTTGTTACGCCCACAGCACAGCAGTGCTGCAAATACATGTTTTTTCCTTTCATTTCGTGGGCTATCGTACTTCTGAATGCTCCTACATCTGAGAGATAAACTTCAAGTCATTAGTACAACATCTGAACTGTCCAGGAGGATATGAGTGAGAATTTGAGAGGGTCACAATAATATCAATGTTGAAAGATTTGACATCTTGCTAGTCTGGATCTGCAGCTGTTTTAATCGCACTTGCCAAAGATGAAATAGACAAAATAGCAGCTAGCTTATATGAAACACCTGTGGTTATGGACAGACTAAGCAATGGGAGACAGACGGCATCCCACGTTAAGCCGAAAGTGAAGAATAGCCCACTCACTTGTGTTGGTCCCACAGCCTGTACCTACAGCATTGATAGTGGAGGGCACAGAGGATGATGGGTACAGTGAGAGGTGCCCATTTTCGCAGCCCTGTTGCTGCTGATGCTGCCAACTTCCCAGCCCAGAGTCCCTCGAGCCCTGCCAGCCGTTGAGACGGTCTTCCGACCCGTAGCGCTGGTGGTGGGGATAGAGGTGTGGAGGCTGCCCGTGGTGGGATGAAGGCGCGCGCTCAAGGGAGTCTCCGGCTCCTCGGGCGGCCGCCCGCTCCTCCAGGTGGTTGAGCCAGAGGGCGAGGTTCCCCCGGTCCTCAAGGGAGGTTGCGGGGTGGATGAGGGCGTAGGACAGAAGCTGCCTGCTTTCCTCTAAGTGCCGGCCATGTTCGATGGTGTGGCCCAAGATCTTCGGCAGAGAGACAGAGGGGGGCGGGATCGGGAAAGGTCCTCGAGCCGGGATTCGATCTCGGGAAGCCTGTAGCACAAATGCACTATTTGTCGGCGCGCTACGGCTATCAGCGCCGACAATTCATTCAGAAATTAAATTTTTTTTAATAAGCTTGACACTGAATCATTAATGATTTTTATGTACTGTTTTGGAAACAGACTAAGAAAATAATGGCATGATGTAATTAAAACACATTGAGCTGACTGATAATTGATAATGCAAATAATTGTTCATAATATAATTCCTTACGTAGAAATTAGATTTGTCTTCTTATTGAAGGTCCAGCAAAACATGCCCACTTACACTACCGTTCACAATTTTGGGGTCTATTTTATATATATATATATATACACACACACACTTTATATATGAAATGTTATTACACTGGAATGAAACAGTTGACTGTCTTTATCAGTGAGTCAATGAATCACTTAATCAACTGATTCGTTCAAAACAGATTCGTTCAGAAACAAAACAAGTGACTGGTTGAATTGGTTATTTTGATGTAATTTTTACATATAAAGTCAGAAATGTCAGAAATGGTAAGAGTAGTATGCTAGTATGCTACTTCAAATTCAGTCACTGCCTTTAAAAACAAGTCACTGAATCATGCGTAAAACAGATTTGTTCAAAAACACATTCAAAACACAAAGTTTTTTATGAATGAGTCACTGAATCATTTATTCAACTGATTCGTTACTCAATGTAAATTCTTGCTTACTGATTAGGCTATATGAGATGTTACATATGAAGCAAATAATCCTGTGTTATGAATGGAACACAATTATCCTTTTACATCAACAGACATTAAACAAACAGAAACACAGACAGACATGCTGTTCACCAGACAGAGATGGGTGGTTAAACCCAAGCAGTGCACATTAGAGACCATTCAGCCGTCCATACGCAGACAGATGTTTTCCCCTTTTAATTAGATGAACTTTGAGTCACTTTTAATGAGAGACCGAACATAAACCCCCTGCAGGCCGCTGTAACAGCATCAGTGCCCCTCTTGACCTGGATACATGCCTCAATAACACTCAACCCCCCATCGTATGCCACCAGATGCTCCATTAACACTAGGGACACAATTGGCGGCTGATAAAAACACACGCACAGTCATACAAACAGTCATGCACACGCCCACGTCTGCATGGGAGGAGATGTGTTTGTCAGACACATGATTCTCTCGTGCTAAAAATAGGACGGCCACAACACCGACTCCAAACACCAGTGGACTGGCGATAACACCCTATTTATATGAGACCACCAGAGACTGCATCAGCTGAACCACACACCCTGTGCTGACACACTGCACACAGTAAGGTCAGCGAAAGACAAGGGATCAGAGGCTGCTTTTGTGACCTCGCTTTCACCTTTGCTCCTTTACAAAAAATACTGATATATCAGATAGTAATTCCATGTTACAGTTGCAAATTTAAGGGGGTCTGAATACTTTCCGTACCCACTGTACATTAAGCATATAAAATGTTAAAAATATATATATTCATAGTTTTTTGAATTCAATATGTAGTTATATATATATATATATATACATACATACACAATGATATTTTTATATGTAATTAAAATATGAAAAATGCATTAAAATATATAAAATATGAATATACAAAATTATAATGAAAGAATGTGTGTATGTGTGTGTTTATATATAAATTAAATATTAATAATTATGAAGCATACTATTTATTAAATTATTATACAATATTAAAAATGTATAATGTGTATAATACATTTTTTATATAAAAATAATTACATACACACACATAAATATATATAAATGAAATTAATTATGAAGTATAATATTTAGTTAGTTAAATTATTATTAAATATTAAAAATGTGGCTCAAGACAGGATTTTACATTCTCAAAACTGGAAATAAATACAGACAAAGACCATGATGCAGCATGTTTGTTTGTGGGTACGTTATGTTGTAACAGGCAGTTACGTCATCGGCTCTCAGGCCAGTTAAATTTGTGGAGGTTTGCCACAGTACCAACTCTGGCACAAGCACCGTTTTGGTGGAAACGGGGTTTGATCGTCTGCCTCTGTCTGCCTCGAAGGTCCTGACCTTCTGACTCCTACACAGACAGAGTTGCCCTCGGTCAGCTGAATTAATTACCCAGAGGCTGTACGCATGCAGCCTCAGCTCATCCGCCTCCTCAGTTCCTTTTCACACACAATCACCAAATGTTACGTCTGCTGTAGAAATTAGAGAATGAGGCCGACAGTTCTAATTCTGGCTTGGCAAGCGCTTTGTGCTGAGAGTTCGTCTGTGCTCGATCGTACACTTTCTTCCTCTCTTCCTTCGAGCCAGTGATATTTATGGCTGCTAATCCTGTTCAACGTTGGAAATAGCAGCGCAGGCTAAATATCCATTGAGCTCAGCTGGACAGACAACAAAGTGGGAAACACCTGCCTCTGTCAGTAGACACAGCAGTCACTGTGGCTCCGAGTCAACTGTGCATGTGTCTATTGTTCGGTACGGATGATGATGAGCTCTCGCTCTCAAACGCAGGAAGCTCGTCACGTGCCACATGTGAACCCATTCAAGACTGACCCCGAAGCGTTTTCTCTATCTAATCTTCACTGTGTTAGATGAAAGCCCAGACGAGCTTTCAACCTGTGCAAATGAGCTCCGCCGCTTCCATCCTGAACCAAATGCACCATAGTGCAAAAACAGGTTTGGCCTGATCCTGAAAAAAGAAACATTCCAGTATTTTGATTTAGCTGTGATAATCTCTGAACAACAACCGCAAAAATATGTCGACTATGTCGAACGATTCCTCCGTAATTACAATAATGAATAGCCTAGTCATTGTATTTTTCTTTTGATATGATGGATTATGATTGTTTTGCTAAAGAGTGCTAAAATTTCACCTCATCAGCAGTCAGTGAGGAAACTCTGAGGCCTCAAGACTCTGGCCCCAAAAACCTGCTCCATTTATGCCCTCCAGACAAGACAACATTGGGCAGGAAGTGCCATTGTAACCTGACGACCGTAACAGCTGTAAAAGATGTGCTGGAATGGAGTGGAAATTTAGTCTACCTGTGGAAGTCCAAGGGGTTGTGTGTATTTCACCACTTTTAATTAACTTTTTGATTTCACTAGTTCATTTCTGTGCTGTGACAAATGAATTATTCAACTACTCGAGAATTTCCAAAGTAGTAGATTTATCAAATTTGATTAATTTAGATTTTTTTTTATCATGTTCACTGCAGCAAAACAATTTTATCCTTAAATACATGACTTAAAAATAATAAATTACTTAAAAATTTATTTATTTGTATCTGCTTGTCACATTCTGGCAAATATGATAAACCAATAATTATTTTTGTTGCTGATGAACTGGCCTATATTTAAAAAAAAAACTCATTCATTTAAATGCTACAACTGAAATTAGGTATCACAACATTATAATGTAACAGTATTTTGAGATTACATTATTAAATTAATTACAGGCATTACAAGATTATGTTAAGCAGTGTTATTAAATGATTTGTGTTTTTAAAGATTATCTTTTAGTGAGCGATAGATGATGGCAAAGGTAATTTAGATAAAGGAAGTGAGCATGCATGTGCAAATATCCAATGTCAACTGATTTCGACACCCTTATTTGGGCACACCTTATTGAATATGTATTTGCAGGCGTTTCCCATTCAGACGCAAAATTTAAGGGAGAAGAGTATTAAAATGAATCACGCAACGCGATTTACTAATGTTTGCGCTCGTCAAATTACTGGTATTTGCACCATTATTTAACGCCCCAAAAAATGTCTTGTTTAACGCCCATGTCTTAAAGCAGGCGGTAATATGCGCTGATCTTGGTAGATTGCGCTGGTCATTATGGAAATGATGTGGCTGCGTCTGTGTTCTTTAATGTGCGCATTGTTAGTAAATCACCTGCAGAATTTTCCCTTCCATCAGCGCTTTTATGGAATTGCGCTCTAACGCTAATTTGCCCAGTTTAGTAAATCTGGCCACAAAAGGTATCTTGTTTCAACTGCGGAAAGACATCAATACACACCATTTTTCAAGTTTAAGTCCACTGACGTTAATCTACTCTCGTGTCTGGTTTGTTTGTCGGACAAAAATGGCAGATTCTGTGTTGTGATTGGTCAGATTGCCTGTCAATCAAACTCCCTGCCAAGGGTCAATTGATAGAAATTAAAATTTTAGTAAAAGAAAAGATCAAGTTAAAGCTGAGATTTTTAAAAAATAGTATGGGGGGGCAACTTTTGATCAAGTCCCAAGTAAAATTCAGTAAGTTCCCAGAAAAACTGAGCCTAAAAATCAGGCTTCTCGGATTTTCTTTCCTCAAGGAAACTTTGGGGACAACCTCTGGCATGAAATGCCATTGTAACTCGACGACTGTAACGTCTGTAAAAGCCTCGCTGGAATGGAACATAAATTTAGTCTACCTGTGGATGTTCCAGGGGTTATGTGTGTGTTCGAGTGGCGCAGAATGTCACAGCCGGAGCTATTCCTGGAATGTGAGCCTCAAGTCTGCGGATTTGAGCGCAGAGAGCTCTATTTAAGGAAATGTCTGGGCCCCTGTGCTACTTGAACCCCATCCTCATTCACTGATCATTATTTTCCTATTCGAAATAAATCTTTATTTCCGTAGCTGGAGGAGAGAGAGCAGAGATTCCTTTGCGGAGGTTATATAATTGCACAAAAATAAGGGCCGATCCGTGAAAAAAGGTCCCATTTAGGGCAAGTGGAAGAAACACATCCTCATACTTAAATACAAACCCACTCCTGCTCCATGACTGTCTGGAGAGAGGGAGCTGAGCGAACTGGTGGGAGGGGGAAAATCTCAGCCTGACCTCTTAAAAGCACAATCAGCACTTTTGAACAAAGTCCTGCATTGTGGCACCATGATGCAGCTGCCTGCGCTATGCATTTACCAGCTGCAGAATAACGCATACTAAACAGTAGTTGCAAAGAGACATGACACCAGCCTCACCAGAGAGACACACTCAAGACAGAAAAGCAAACAGAATTGTTGGGTATGTGAAGAGCGAGTGTGTCTTCTGACGCATTGTTCTGAGCTGCAGTCAAGCGTGCACTGACAGCTCACCCCTCGTATGGCGTGAGCTATAGAACCGGTCTGACGGCGTGGGAGACCATGAAACCATGAGCATGAGGCTGTGGAGAGGAGAAATTAATACTTTTGTTCTGCAAATATGCATTAGATTAATCAAAAGTGACAGCAAGGACGTTAATAAAGTAACAAAAGATTTCAAGTTTCAACTTTTGAACTTTCTGTTCATCAAAGCATCCTGAAAAAAGTCATGGTTTCCACAAAACTATTAAGCAGCACAACTGTTTTCAACATTGATAATGGTGAGAAATGTTTCTTGAGCACTACATCAACATATTATAATGATTTCTGAAGGATCATGTGACATTGAAGATTGAAGTATTGACGCTGAAAATTTAGCTTTGCCATCACAGGTATAAATTACATTTTAAAACGTATTAAAATAGAAAACATATTTTAAACTGTAAAAAATTGTATTTTACTGTATTGTGATCAAAGTCTTGGTAAGCATTAGAGACTTCTTTTAAAAACATACAAAAATCATACCATCCCTGAACTTTTGAACAGTAGTATATATACCACAATATACATTTTTATGGAAAAGTAATTTTAAAAAAGTAATTATTGTAGCAATAGAAGTAATAATAGCTATGACAATTTCCAAAATACTTTCACAATATATATATATATATATATTAGGGTTGGGCCGATAGACGATGCCATCGTACATCGCCGATGGCTGACAGACATCACGATGTTAAGCTGACATCGTGACTTTCTCTCGCAATTATATCGTTGGGTAAGTATAGGCGACTGTATATAAATTGCAGGCATCAGGAAGCCGCTATTGAAACCGCTTTCGATTGCGCGCGCTCATTTTACTTTCACTTTCATTTTCACTTTTGAGATTCGCATCACAAGGACTCTATACTATGGAGCGGCAGTACTTACCAAACATTTTACAAGATTAGATGTTTGTCAGTGGTGCTCAGGACCGCCCCGCCGATGTTTCACTGTAGACATCGTCCGATGCCAATTTGGTAGACATCGCCCAACCCTAATATATATATATATTTGTTTTTTTATTGAATAGCCATGTTCATTGCAATAAAAATCTATTCTTAAATAAATAAATTAAATACTTGTTTTATCTTTAATCTTTATTTGCTAGATATATTTTGATAAAAGCAATGAGTCTTTTCTTTTTAACTGACAAATTTCTACAGGTATATCTGGGAATATTGAAAATAATAATTGGGATGTTTTACAATCGTTTTTATCTGACTAAAAGCAGGACTGAAAGTTAATTCAAAGTAGTTCACAGGAAAGTCTTATTCAGCAAACTTCAAGACACAAGCATTTAACGAACACTAAAAAGCACCATGCATGAATATTGCATGCAATCAACATAAAGAAAGTTAAAACCACTGCTGTCTTAGCTAATCAAACCAATCTTTAGTTAAGCACAACAGTATAGAGAAGACCACAAAATAAACACAGGCTCCTTCAACAGCAGCAGAGATGCCGTAAGGAAAGCGACGTTACTCAGTAAGGAGAAAGGGTGATACATCTTATGCCTTTCAAGTACCTGCATGTCATCCATTCCTTTTCGCTGATATGAGCATATTTTGCCATTCATTAAGATGAGAAACAGGTGATGAGTAAGTTATCACCCAGACTCAAATGCTGATGTCATCCAAGCTCAGCATTTTTCTAAGACACCTTAAAGTAAACATCGGCGCCAGGGTTTCAACAACTTTACTTGAGTGGGAAACAAATAGCAGTAAAAATGTAAAGTGTGTCTGAGAGGGCACTTCTCCTTCTCTTGAAACTCTTTCAGCTGAATTTTGACGGCATAATATTCAAGGGCTTCTGTATACAACAAAAGATTAAAGGGGTCATATGATGCTGCTAAAAAGAACATTATTTTGTGTATTTGGTGTAATGAAATGTGTTTATGCGGTTTAAGGGGCGTGTTAGAACGAGCCGTTTTAGGTAGGCGTGGCTGACTCTTAACTTTTATAAAGAATATCTCTTTGGATTTGAGACTTTAGTCTTTGCAACTTTACAGATCTTCTTTATGCACCAAGAGCTTGTAACACTCCAAAGAGAAAGGAAAAATTTAATTAGCATCATATGACCCCTTTAATATATGATGTTTTGAAATATTTAATTTTAAAAAAGCAAATAAAAATATGTCTATTTTTGCCATTTAATTGACAAAGAAAGAAGATGGAGACCATCAGCTGATGGATGGTCAAGGTCGGGTCAAATGTATTTATGAATATTTAACAATTAATTGAGGTTGGTCAAGAGGAACAGGATGAAATAATCTATAGTGGTTCAACGGATCACAAATCTCACGGTTCGGATCACATTACGGTTTTTGACCCACGGATCGGATCATTTTTCGGATCAGCATGAAAAGAAAAATATTTCAATTTAACTTGCTTTCCATTTATTACTTAAAGTGAAGTACTTCTTTGATACCACAGCAAATACTGCTAGATTAACTAAGAAAGTTTAAACATGATTAAAGAGACAAGAGAACAGCCAGTAAAAATAAGAACAAATTCACAAATTACATGCATAGATAAATACAACAGAATATGTTACAAATAAAATAAGGTTGGTAGTATTCAAATACATAAATGTAATAATTAGGGAAAATAACACTGCACAGTGTTCACTGTATAAATTAAATATAGATTTTTATCACAGCTGTTTTGTTGTTTGATGATCATTAATGACAGCAGCAGTATTTATAGGCCGCTGTCCCTTTAAGACCTGATGCACGGATCCGATATAATGATACACATCACATCTGATTTCTTTCTCAGCTGTTTTCATTCACTTGAGATATAACTGACTGCGTTTACCTGAATGATTTTCGAGATGGGTATTTTGTCATAATTTTATGTGTAGGTGTCTGTTCAGAGGATTCAGAGGAGGATTCAGTTCGGTGTTTGCGCGCCATCTGAAACGCGTGTGAGCGGCTGTGCGCGTAGAGAACAGCGCGCGAGTAACGAATCGAGTTTCCTTTCGCCTTTTCTCTCTGGAATTGTTAAAAATTCGCTTGCTTGTGTAAATACGAACAAATAAACTTATAATCTATTATGGTTAAATTTTGCAATTAATCCGCAGATCACATGCGTGCCGAACCGTGGGGCTTGGTCCGTACGGATCACGGATCAACTACGATCCGTTTAACCACTAATCTATAGGCTATAAAAAGTGTATATTTCAGTATACTGATTATAAATTAAACATGTTATATTATGAACAACAATGTTTCAATATTTATTTAGGTTATAAGAGGAGTTTAAACTGTGTATCATGATCAACTGACACCACTAGGACTTCATAAAGACTCAAACGTATTTCAATTAAATCTAAAATCATTTTATTACTTACAACAAATGAAAAAAAAAATCTATTACTGCCATAATTTGTAAACTGAGCATCACTTCACCTAAAAATGAAAATTCATCAATTACTCAGTTACTTTTTGGAATTAACTTAAAGTGGAAATTCTTTTAAAGTTTCATTAAAAATATCTAACATTTATATTTTTAAGATGAACAAAAGACTTGTGGCTCTGAAACATCATGAGAGGGTGAGAAATTAATAACTTTTTCATTTCTGAATTTTCATTACTAACAACAAGCCTTGAAATCACTACAGCCAAAAAAAGACTTGCTGAACAAGAAGAGGGTCTTCGGGTCTGGAGATTGGGAGAGATAAAGCAAGTGCAGGTATTGCCAAGAAGACAACTCTGTAAGGGGAAAAACACCCCAAAAGAACAATGTAAGACGATATTGGTGATTTTGTCCACTTATCACAGGTAACTTCCTCCTAGCACAACCTGTGGTTACATCTCACCCAAGGATTCAGTGGGACAACTAGTGAATAATGGTTAAATTTTACCTGCAGGGCTTGAACAACAACTCAGCTGAGACCTTAAAACCACCGATATTCATCATACTGGGAGTATTATTGACTCCTAACAGGCTAGTAGCCTTGCAGTGCAGGAGAACTTAAATGGAAACTGCCCTTGTACCCTTTATGTTCTACATATCACATGATGGACTGAACATCAGTTCACACAAAGTTCTCCAAATGTTCTGCAAGTCCTACCTATTAATGTCACCACTGGCCAGTCGTTGTACTCAAGTGCTGTTACTGTAAAATGGCCACGCCAACAGAGAAGACAAGGAAAAGCCTTTCAGACTGGCTCCACTCATCTGATGCTTTCAGAAAGGGCTGACACAGTAAAAAAGTAGAGTTTTTATTAAGAGCAAAAAGGAATATATTTGGCAGGTTCTCCATGGCTGTCCCTGGGGTTGTGCATGAGTTCACGGAACACAGAGAGGGCCAGAAATAAACTGTTTGCTCATGCGTGGGTGCGATGTAACAGTTCGACACCCAAACCAGAAACAAGCACTCTTTCTGTTCCAAACAGCTCAGTGACGTTTCTATGAAAGGCAGAAGAGGGAAAAAACAAACCGGCTGGACAGGACAAGGGTCTGGACACTGTGTGTCTCAAGGCCAGTGGATGAAAGCAGTGAACTCTACACTGCAGTGAAGCACACAAACCTCATAATCAGACTTACATCATTCAAAATGGAAATTGACTTCCTAATGTAGCCTAATTACCGGCCCAGTTCTACGGGGGTGCTAAGCCCCATCAAACGAAAGCAAGAGCACCCTCAGATGCAGCTGTAAAATAGGGTACTGGCAAAACAGATTCGCCAAATGCTCTGGTGCATATTTGTGTTTGCACTCAGGAGAGCATCAAAGGTTTCTATTTACAATGTGTTTTTGCAGTGTTGAGCAATGCAGCCAATCCCAGATATAGGCCTATCTGTTGATTTCTTGAATGCAATGGCCAGTCAGGTGTTTAAGAATCCACTCATAGCCCAAAACACAAGTGTTCTCTCATTATAACAAAGTGTACACTAGGCATGGGACAATAACCGGTTTCAAGGTATACCACGGTTTGGAAAAGTCACGGTTTCAAAACCACTAAAATTTTCCGTTATACCGTTCCTGCGGTATGCACAGTTTTTTTTTACGTGTCGTCAAAGACGGAAAGTACAGGACTCCCTCAGTTGTGTGCAGCGAAGAGCGTAGCGAGTCACACGACCCCTCCCCCTCCGGTTGGTGCGAGCGGAGTCACCTGTGTGTAGCATAGAGGTCTGCAAGCCCGAGTCCATTCGGGCCGGGCTCGGGCCATTTTTTGTTTTTACAGATCGGGCTCGGGTTGGACTCGGGCTAATTTAG